CGATTACAGGCATGAGCCACTGTGCCCGGCCAGAACACCACTTTTTTTTTTTTTCCTTTTTCTTAGAAAAGATTGTAGTAGTACATTCTTGGGCTTCTTTGTCAAAATCACACTAGGGTTCACCATGTGAAGAGCCCAAGGATAGTCTTTCTTATTAGATTATACTCTCTCAGTAAATTAAAATTAGACATTTGGTTTTAAAATTTGCCTCAGATTATTTAATTGATGTCAGTCAGCCAGCATGTGGTCAATTGTAAAGTAAAAACGACATCGGAGTTCCAGATCAAAGGAACTGATAGAGAGAAACAGCCCTGAAACAAAACAGTGACTATAATTCAAATATTTGACACTAAATATCAAATCCCTTTAGTCTTCTTTTACATGACCACAAAAAGAAACCACATAAAAAGGAAAGAAACAGCAATATATAATCCCAACATATACATTCTGAATAAGATACTATTTTAAATACCCTCTGAACATGAATCAAATATACGGCAAATGGTAAATTTATATATACACTTCATATGCACAAGTAAAACTTTATCCGTTAAAGAAAGGTTCCTTAAGATTGTGATCTAAAAGAAAACCTTCGTTCTAAACCATATTGACTGACTGATAATTAAGCCTGTCGTTATCATAGCATGTACCCTATAATCTGATACCACCCCCACCCACCCCCAAAATTGTATTCAAATGAGAACAGCATCCATGCTCACACCATTTAAATGAGATAGGGGATAGCTACATCCCCTCTCATTCTCGGAGCTCGGTAATCAATTAATCAGAGAGGTTAAATAGCACATTCAAGGTTCAACGTTTGCTAAAAGTCACTTATTTCCATTCAGACCCTCAGCTGTCATTCTGGAAGCTGCCACCAGATGCACAGGGTGCTTGTTAATGCGGCAGTAAGCCCACATCAGAGGGACTCTTCAAGGTCCAAGGTTTCACACAATTTGATCAACTGTGCTTTTTTCCCCTATAAATCAGAACTTGATAAATATAGCACTATAATTCATGAACAAATATTTAATTACTACCTTTAAGAGCTAAAAGACATACTCTGACATAATATTTACATAAATACAAAATACCTACCTTCAAATTAAGTATCTTTTCCCACTAAATTGCCCTATTTTAAATCTCCATCTAATTCATTTCAGAGTCTAGTTGGAATTCTCCCTGAGTTAATTCGGGATTGTAAATTCTCCAACAAGTCTCAGATCTTCAGAGTAGCATAAGAGCTCCCCACATAATTGTCCTGAGTTAATCTGCTCTTTCTTTTCCCCACATGTTTAGCTTCACATGGCATCTAGGGTCTCATCTGCTCCTGCCTCTGCACGGCTTGCCTCCGCTCTACTGCCCACTCTGGGTTCCCATTCCCAAGCAGAAAGAACCGTAGATGCTGCCGTCTTGCTCTCCCCACTCTGTGGTCTTGTTCCAATCAGGGAAACATTCCTATGGCAACCAACACACACCACCATCTCACTCCCCTTCCCTGAAAGTTCCCTATTTGCCTGGCAGACGTTTGGCAAGGACACTGAATTACTTTAACTTGCCTAGCAACTACTAGCCTGTTCCAGTCCCTCTAAAAGCGGTTGGCTTTTTGTTGCTTATCTTTTAAAACACACTCAGGGGCTGGCTGGCTGGCTGGCTGGCCGTGGAAAGGGCAGCTGCCAAGTCAGCCTCATTGGACACTGGCCTGGAACACACACAGCAGTTAGGCAAACTGGAGCCTCTTCTTGCCCCAGGATGAAAAAATGTCCACAGGCTTGAGGCAACGGCACGAGTAGACAGCTCTCAGGGTCCCACCCTGGGCTAACTCCAGAGGAATTTTAATTCTCAGAGAACCTCAAATCTCCTTCTTCAGCTATAAGAAAAGTAAAATTATCAATAGCTGCCTCCACTCAGAAAACCAGGTTTATCTCATTTTGCCATGTACTTCAACCCTTCTGGTTTTTATTTAACAGGCTGGAAACCAGATATTTTAACTTACAGATTGTAGTTTATTCATTAAGGTTATTTTGGTATCAGGAACCAACACGGTCCCAAATGACTGATGCTGCTTTCCATATTTTTTCCCCTCAGTGAATTCTAAAGAAATACTTGAAGTGTCTATAATCTAATCTGGGTACCCTAAGATGAAATACTTCTTCTAATAATCCATATAGGTGGAGAAGCTTGAACAATGAATAAATAGTTTATTGAGCTCTTGGCTTGCTCTGCTGATGGATTCCATGCTTGCGTTGTGTCCTTTCAGAACAGAAGCCAACAGCAGGTGCTTTCTCCCAAAAACAACCAGTGAGATACTCAAGTCAGGTCCTGGAGAAAAACTAAAGCTACTAGATAGGCATTTCTACTCCTACCTGCCGCCAACTGTCTTCCAAAATGAAAGCAAGGCCACTGTTGCAGAAGCAGAGAGTTGCCAATTTAGGCCAGCAACAGACCTGAAAGTTGACATGGGTGGACACTATCTTTTATTAGACAACTATTTCCTGCTGGTAGGATGCAAAAGACCCATTTTTCTATCTTTGCAACCTTTGAATTTCTTCCAAAAAGAGGCTTCTTATTCACTTCCATGGCCCTTCGAGAACAAGGACAATTTTTGATTGCCATTTCCTATCTCAGTGATGACACACAGTAAGTGCTCAGTAAGCATTTGCTGAAATGAACCTTAAATACAGCAGCAATAGAATGTCAATTAAAATAAGATACTATTTTCACTGATTATATTTACAAACTAAAATTTTTGTCATATTCAGTGTTGACAAGGGTGTGGAGAAACACGACATTCTTCTACACTGTTGATGGAAGTATAAATTAGGGCAGCCATTTTGGAGGACAATTTGCCAATATTTAGTGATGCTAAAAATGGACACCCTCTTTTACCAGCAATTCCCTGGCTTTGTATCCTACAAATATATTGACAAAAATGCAAAAAGATATATACAAGAATGTTTATTGCAGCATTGTTTGCAACAAGATAAAACTGGAAAAATCTAAATGTTGATAAACAGTAGGCAAGCTAAATTATGGCAAACTGATGCAATGGAATACAATATAGCCATTAAAAATGAAATGGATTTATACATACTGATGTGAACAGATGTCTAAGATATATCACTAACCTATCCACAAGAGAATCCATATATTTATCCATACATACACATATAAGCATAGATGTGTGTTATATGTGTATAGGTATTTATGTATATGTGTATGTGTGATTGTATACAAACAGAACATTAGGTCATTTCTGGTAGAATTTGCAGAGATTTAACAGTGGTTACCTTTAAGGAATGACATTTAGGACTGAAACAATAGGAAGGAAGACTTTTATTTCCACTGTATAGCATCTTAAAATGTTGACCAATTTTTAAAACAAGGAATGTTCGTATTTTAAAAACTCATATTTTAAAAACATGTTAACAATTCATAATTGCCTTTGTATTATTAGATTTTCAAAAAAAAAGAAAGATAGCAGGTTATTTTTACCATTCACGTATCCCTGCGTAACTAATACAGGGGTCTTTAAAACCATCCACAGCTCTAGCAGAAAGCAAGAAACTACAGAAATGAAAACAGCAGGTCCCATAAATTGTTTATGAAGTTTATACTTTTAATGTGTTAGACATTAGTATCTCAAAAACTTAATTAAAAATTAGAAATCACATTAGGGCTACGTAAATTAAGATTAAAAATTGTACAAATCCAAATACACATTGAATTATACAATAAGCCAAAAAATGTATTCCTAATGCTTGAGTCATCTTTTTTTTTGGAGGTAGAGTGAAAAGAGAAGTAACTCCTGCTGCTAAATTAGAAACTACAAGCCCCAGAAGCACTGTACATATATAACAAGAGTTAAAAACCTGGATCCAAAAATTCTAATTGATGTTTAATCAAAGAAAAGTACAGAAAGCTGCAAATGTTGTCTTTTCAGGGGCTGATCTGACCTACAGAGAGGAACAACCCAAGAGAAACGTCTCTTCCTCACTGGCAACTCAACAACAAGAATATGGAAACCATGGTATAAAATTTTTTTCAGCTTACAAAGGTTAGAAAGAATGCTCCATTAAAAAAATAGAGCATTGCCCTTCATTTCCACATTATCCCCAGCTTCCCAAATATTCCTCCTACTTTTTTCTTACAAACTCAAGAGAAAAAATTTCCCTTGGTACTCATTATAAAACCCCAGAATGCTGTTGACATTGCCATTTTAACTGTCTATTGTTCTCCTAACTCCAGGAAATCGCTGAAAGCCAGACATAATGACTGTTGTGACGGTTTTCAGTAACAAGAAGTGAAGTTTCCTGTCAAAAGAAGTGCTCTCTCCATTTTCATCATATGTAAAACAAGATGCTTCCATGAGCACCTTCACAGATAGATGAGCTTCTTTGAGACCCTGAAAATGTACTAAAAGGATGAAAGAACAAATCAAAATGACAGATAAATTTGTGGGAGTTTTTCCCTTTTAGCTGTAGCAAACTGTGATTTATTTCCCAATTAGTACTGATTCTTTTGTGAGAGACCTGACTTTTTGCTCTAGAGATGTCAAGACCATATTCTAGATATAAATTCAACACAGGAGCAAAAAATAAATTAGGAGTTGGTGTTTATTTGGAATACTCTAGATCCTAGACTACATGGACTGGCTATGAAGCATGTTCTATTATAACACTCCTCCATTAACTGTTTCAGGTCCCCATAATTCCAAATCTCCCATTCAGTTTAAGAGGTCCGCATCTTTAGTACAGATCTACTGGCCAGACCAGCAAAAGAAAGGCAGCTTGTTTCTGAGGGAAGAGGCCAAGACCAGGATTCAGAAGTCCTGGGTTCAAGTGCTTATACAGTCCTTAACCTGCAGAGCTGCTGAAAGCAGAGACTCACCTTCATCTGTCTCACTTCTTCCATGTGAGCAAATAGGGAGGGATGTATCAGATCAAATGAGATCACCTATCAATATAGTTCACAAATATGGAATGCCAAAAAGGCCTTACCATTAACAAGAGCAAGAGTTTGCTTTTTGAAATTGTGTTACACAAATATATCCTTGTGTGACTCCGTTTTCTTACCTGTAAAATGGGAATAATAAAAATACTCATTTCATAGATGCTCTTAGATGCATGCATCCATGCTTTTTATCGTTTGCTCTATCTATGCTAGGCACTCTTCTAAGAGCTCTATGCTAGGCACTCTTCTAACAGCTAATATATGCTAAACATATGTAATATAAATAATAAAATGTAACATGTATATGTAACATAAATAATAAAAATATTAGCTGTTACCTTTGGTACAAAGCTACTTTATTTACTTAGAAGTGTAGATCCCTAGTACCGCAGATATTCAAAATGTGACAGAAGTACATCAAAGTGAAAAATTAGACACAAACATAAAGAGGGATGAGCTATGCCCAGAGCATTTGCTTTGTTGTAATAGTGGTCTAGTTAGGCATAAAGCAATAACCATAGGAGGATGACTGGGAAAGGATTTGAACCAGGCACATAGCAACTCAAAGTATAGTAAGAGGCAAAGACTGTAGAATGTATCAATCTCAGTTTTAAAGATTAAGTGGCTTGAACACTAAATGTGAGATGTACAGAGGCATAGACTTCCTCTGACCTTTAGGTCTGGTTGGTCCATAAGTGTCCCTCAAAATATTTGAAAAATGAGTGGATGGATGGGTTGAACACACCGCTTTCAATACGATCTTCTTGCAGAGTTCCTATTATAATACAGACTGCTTGATATTAAAAGGTGTCTACATGAAAGACAAAGGAAAACCCAAAAGATGTGCACTCATGCCTTAATTCATTAAATACTTAGTATTCACTATATCTGAAGCATGGTACAGAAGTTGTTTTATGAATAAGGTCTAGTTTATGCAATTACAGAAATCTAAGAAGAAGTTGGCCTCTATCTTGGGCTGGAAACTAGTCATAGTAGAAATAACTAATTACATTCCTTCCCAGTTGGTTTCTTACAGGCAGCTCTTCTCTAAGTTCAAGCCTTAGTGATGCCATTTATGTGTCAGGACACTTTAATCTTAAGAAACTAAAGGAAAATGGAAAATCTTTTTCAAAAGGATGTAATTGTACCAGATGATATGCAAGGGATTTGGGGGCATGTAATTAATTACAATAATGCCTTACAACAAATTTATAACGATGGAAGGAAGATGTGTGACAATATTGAATTATGGGTGAGTTTTTAAAAATGGAGTTTTATTAGAGTTCAAATTAAATGCTAATAAAACATCACCAAGAAGAAATCCTCCTAGGACTGCTTTAATGACTAGAATCACTCATAATCAGTAGATAGTTAAGATGCAAATAGATGCAAGTAAGGCATTCGAAAATGGCCCTTCCTCTCAAGCAGGCTAAATGTGTCCTAGCAAACGTATTTATACTATTCATTTGCTCTGTGGGTCCTTTCTTCATAGATAAAACAAAGTAAACTTCAGACTTACCCTGGAGAAATTATTAAGAGCCCTGAATTAATGTGGTACAAATGAATGGCATTATTGAAGAGAGAATCAGGGTTCTGTCAGATGGCTGCAGCCAACTACATCTGGATTTATTTTTAAATGAGTGTTTATACTCCACTGTTCATCCAAGTTCTCATAAGAGGCTCTGTCTTTGCATACAGAGCAGGAAAAAAACTGCTGAATGAAGTCAGTGTGCTGAATGGAACCAGAGAGTGGGTGGAGGGGAGTGCCTACTCTTTTTTCCCCTCTTTTTTTTTTTTTTAAGCTATTATTTTTCTTTCTCCTCCTATCTGGTATTCTTTGATACACTCTGACAGCTTGTTCAAACTGAGGAGCCTAAGAAAGATCCACCTGACAACCTAGACTCAGGAAAAGCACATGTGAAAATGCCATTTCCAGCCAGTGTACGATCAGGCCTCGGAGAATGGAGATAGTGTGTTTCCAAAGTACTTCAGAGGCTGCAAAAAATGTTAAACATTACCTCATTTGATACAACCACCTGTGGCATAGGAAAGGCAGGTGTCTTCATTTTACAGGTAAGAGAGGTTAATGATGTGATCAAGTCCGCACTATTAGAAAAAGAGCCCAGCATCAAGACCAACCTTCTTACTATTGGTCTGTGGTGATGTCCCCACACTACACTTCCTAAGTAAATAATCTTATGTCTTTTTACACACCCCCTACAGTAAACTGAAACCCCCTGGCATCTGATTCACTTATGTCTGCATGAAGCAGAGCCCCGGGTAGGAGAACCACCAGTGGTTCAGCCCTCAGCCTCACTGTGATTTCACAAAGGACTTAGTAGCTTCTGGGACAGCGGTTTTTCAGGTGTTAAGTGCAGTTTTAAATACATCTGCTTCTCCACTGGAGAAAAACACAATCTGGTAGCAATACCCAAGGCAAAACACCTGTACTCAATTTTTATTTCTTAGTAAATTTGAGATGTTCACTGGGGGCAGGTGTGGCTAGGCTCATAAGGATAAATGAGAGGCAAATGAAGAGTATTTTGCAAACACAAAACTTAAGACAAATGCTTAAACTACCTTGAAAACTTTGGGTGTTATATTTCCTTTCTTCTTGGAAAGAATAATTCCATAAGTAATACATTAACATGAAGGAGATTATTTTTTCAATGAACACATGGCAAAAATCTGACAAGACTATTAATATCAGTTTAGGTTTGGGGAAATCTCAGGATTGGAAAATCTTAAGATGATTTTAAGACTATTACCACTGAGTAGCTTCCACACCTGGATGGGCATAAAAATCCCAAAGAAGGGCCCCAGAAACCAGACAACCTAAAGTAATTACTCTGCCAGTACCCAGAAATCACAGAACCTAGAGTTAGTACTCTACCAGCTCCTAGAAATCAGAGAATCTAGAGTTAGTACTCTACCAACTCCCCAAAACCAGACAACCTAATAGAATGAGTACTCAGAAGCCTGTTAAGTCCATGCTGTTCCTCCCCCAAAAAGGCCTCATAATAGATTCTAAAGAAGGACAGTTTCCCCTCTCTGGCCACCTACAGAACTTTGTGGATTGGAGAGTTGCAAACCTTACCCATTTGCTGATTACTCCAAAAAGCAATTGGAACTGTTCAAGAGAAACAGCAGCCAACAACGGGGGCTTCACGAAGATCTTGAGAATAGTGACTGACACCTCTGATTTTTTTTCCAAACCTGATGCACCCAATCCAACCCCAAAAATCTTCATTTAACATTTATTATGTGCACAACATTGGTGGCTCCTGTCTTCTTACTTTGTATTTAGAGTAAAATATGACAACTTTGCCACAAGCAGAGACACACACCTCACACCTTAGCAGTAGAAGTGAACCTGTTGAGAAGGCTATCATGAGGAAGAACCTGCAGGGTCAGCAGTGATTACCATGGCAACAACAGCCAATGGCACTCTAATTTTCAGCTCCTAATGCAACGATCTGAGGTCTGACTCTCCCTTGGGAGGTTTCAGTTGGCTTTTATAAGAAGCCTAGATAAACTTGCTGTCTTCCATTGGGCAGTTCTGGCAGAAAGGAATGCACTCTTTATTAAGGGTTGTTCACAGTCCAGATACAAAACAGAGAATAAAGATTCTGAACTCTATTACTCACTGATTGACTTGCTTTTGAGCAAGCAGTCATCAGAAACTGTTCAGCTTTAGCCTATTATAAGCCACTATATCACTCACATGGGATGGTTTCCTGGTACATTAGATCGAGTTTCAACCTCACTTGTTCCATTGAGGACTAATATTTGTTAGATGCTGTATTCTATTTTTAGAGTAAACTATCAGCCTATGAAATGGTCTGAATACACGAAAACGATTTCAGCATACCAAGTCAAAACGTGTACTGTTTGAATTAAATGCAGATAAATCAGGCCAGGTGTGGCAGCTCATACCTGTAATCCCAGCACTTTGGAAGGCTGAGGTGGGTGGATCACCTGAGGCTGGAGTTGGAGACCAGCCTAGTCAACATGGTGAAACCCTGTCTCTACTAAAAATACAAAAATTAGCCAGGTGTGGTGGTGCATACCTGTAGTCTCAGCTACTCAGGAGACTGAGGCAGGAGAATCGCTTGAACTCAGGAGGTTGCAGTGAGCAGAGATTGCACCATTGCGCTCCAGCCTGGGTGACAAGGGTGAGACTCTGTCTCAAAAAATAAACAAATAAATAACTGCAGATAAATCAAAATACAGATATATTTTCCTTTGAATGCACTGGTACACTGGTATCTCATATAGCTGATAACAAGAGTACTTAGCAAAATATGTTTTGGATTATGCTGAAGTCAAGTCAATTTATAACTTGACAGGATTTGATGAACTGATATTTGCCTTGAGGGGAGAGTGTCTTCGAAGTTGAAGGCATCTTACAGATGACTTAGCCCATCTTCATAGCCAGGATACAAAAAAAGCATATGTAATATGCCTCCTCCATTTTATTCATTTATTTATGTAAATAAATACAAGAAGTCTTCAAAAAGTTCATGAAAAATGAATATTAAGAAAAACCTATACATGGATTTCAAATTCTTTTTTGCACCAAAATAAACTCATACTAAGTTGTTATAACATATCTAAACAGGATCTAGTTTAAGCCACTAAGAAGTATAAGACATCAGTTTGCAAAGTGCCCCTATCCAAGCAACAAGAATTCTGCTAAAATTGAAGCACAAACATCAAATTTACTGTGATTCTTGGGTGGAAGAATGCTGAAATTATTGACGCTTCACAAAATGTTTACGAAGGCAATGTCCCAAAGAAATCAGCAATTTACAAATGGATAACTCGTTTTAAGAAGAAATGAGATGATGTTGAAGATGAAGCCCACAGAGGCAGACCATCTATTTACATTTTTCTCATTACTAAAGACTTGGAGTATCTTTTCCAGTGTTTGATGGCCTGTGAAGTTTCCTCCTATGTAAACTGCCTGTTAAAATTCTTTGCTCAAGTTTTCTATTAATAATATGTATTGCTTTAAAAATAACTCCCCACCCCCACTGGAATCAGTTGAATAAGACAGGCAACAAGAAAAACTCACACAGAGAACAGATGGCAATGATTCCATCCTTTGAAAATGGCAGTGACTCTACAGTCAAAAGTGAATTTGAGACCTGCACAATAACAGGGACAGCAATAGCTGATGATGTTTTGTGAAATACTTGATATAGTGCCTGCATATAGCAGGTATTCATTAAACACCACTTCCTCTCCCATCTTCAAAGATTATCACAACAAATCTGTGAGAAATAAAAAAACATGTATTATTTTTATTTCTCTTTAATGGATAACAAAACTGCCTGGAGGCATGCCCTTTCTTGCCTGATCAGTGAGAAAGGCATGGCTAACTCAAGTGCTACTGGTTCCTCCCTTTATTTCTACTAGGAGTGTAAGCTTGGAAGTAGACAACCTGTCTTTGCATTCCAGCTCCTCAACTTAGTAGCTGACTAGCTTTATGAAAGTAGTCACCTCTTTGAATCTCAGTTTCCTCCCATCAAATGGGGTAAATAATGATGGTATTTTCCTTTTGGGGTTAAGGATTAAATAGTTCCATGTAATCCATGAAGAATGATGCCAGGCACTTAGTAAGTGCTCAGTGAGTTTTAGCTGCTGCTATTAATATTATTATTAGTCAGCTTATCCTTGGTGTGTGGGAATTGCACTAAATGACACTGTAAACAGTCTTTTATGAATGTCCTCCAATTGTGTGGTTTTTAGAATTCATTTTGAAAGGTTAAAGATTATACAATAGCATATGAACACTTAACATATCTTAAATATTGGATTTAATTCTAAGCATTTTTCATAATCCATATTTTTCCCCAATTTGGCTTAAGAAAAATCTTGAAAGATAAACATTCAAGATTTTCATTATCAAGATTATCATTTGTTCTAGGTCCCAAGGCAGTTCCAGGGTCTCGTTTGTTGATTTCAGGATGTGGCTGCATGTACTGGACATTTCTCAGCAGACCCTGCATACAGAATGATTGATTCTGGGACTTCCTGGATGTTCTAGTTTTCTTAGGTCCACTTTGGGAAAAAAAGGGAAGCTACTACTTTTCTAGGGCATTTTTCCCAATGTATTCCTTGCATCTCAAGTAACACATCTGAGGACTTCACTGACTAGATAAAACAAAACTATTGGAAAATGGGCCTCCATACAAAGTAGGCTAGCACTTTTGTTTTCTTTGTACAAGGATTATTCTTATTCATATTTCTATCCATGGAAGAGAGGATATTGACCAAAGAAATAAAGCCAACTGGTGGTAACCATGGCCTGAATATAAGCAACCCTCATTTTTCTCAGCTTTAAAAAATAAAATAAAATGAAGGCAGGAGGCAAGGAATCAAATCAAGTAGGTGTGACAAATGCTAGCATAAAGGAGAGCGGCAGCAACAAAAACAACAGGAGCGCTGTCTGGAATCTTAAATAAGTGGTCAAAACTCACCGAATTACAAAAATCAATACTATGGTACTAAAAGAACAGTTGGGAATTCTAGCGTTTATTTTACTGTTCAGTTACATTATGACTCGTCAGCATCTCCTGGCTAGTCATTGTTGCTTCTGCAGGCCTCACCTCACTGTAAGATGAGGTGTAGGATAAAACATACTTTCCTCATTTCCTACTTGCCATAGATTCTAGGGTTTTATAGTTGATA